GGGGTCAGGTGACCCCAGCAAGGGGACTGTGTAGTCTCCTCTTGAAGATTTCCACGGTAGGTGACTGCACCACCTTTGAAGGGAGCTTATTCCACAGTCTGGATACCCTGACTGTGAATAAGTTTTTCCTAACACTGAGCCTGAGTTTGTGGCCATTACTCCCAGTTTTTCCCAAGGGCACCCTGGTGAACAGTTGCTCACCGAGTCCTTGATGTACTCCTCTAGTGTAGCGGTAAGCTGCTACCAGGTCCCCTCTCAGCTGCCTTTTCTTCAGGCTGAAGAGTCCCAGATCCCTCAGCCTTTCCTCATATGGCTCACCATGTAAGACCCTGAGCATATGGATGGCTCTTCTTTGGATTCTCTCAAGCTTGTCCATGCCCTTGTTAAAGTTTGGTACCCAGAACTGGACACAATACTCCAGCTGCACAGTACTCTGAAATTAGGCACCTCAAAGGTTGGACTGCTGTAGCAAAAAAAAAAATCTTTATGCAATCTCAGTTTTGAATTTGGTAACTGCACTCATTAATACTGTGAAAAACAATATACGTCCTTTCACACCTTATACCAGAGATGTCAAACGTGGCCTACAACACCTTACTGTCTGGCCCACATGACTCCCAGTGCAGCCAGAATTTGGGGGCAGAATAAGGAGGGGTGGGGGCCCACCACTGAAATCCTTGGTACAGAGCCCTATTAGGGACACATGCCAGTAGCAGGGGACATCCTTCGCTATCATGTCCATCTGTGGCCCACAAAGAGCCCCACAGCCTGGATCTGGCCTAAGACAAGGAATAACCCTTACGTTATGCACGTTCTTGATCCTACTTTTTTTTAGCTTGGAAAGCTATTTATTAGATTTGTAGGTCACCCTTCACCAAGAAAGCTTAACGTGGTTTACAGTAAGAGACAAGATAACTTAGAATAAATTATTAAAGTAAGCTAGCATAGCAAATCTACACTCCTGATGCAGGAAAATGTCCATCAGCTTTCAGCGGGAGTTTTGTCAGAATATGAACTGCATAGCAAAGTATGTAACAATTAAAGTAATCCTTAAACTGTGCTGCTGATTATTTTTCCTACCTACTGCAGTCATAAACAACCTAAATGTAGAGTAACTGGTGAAAAAAAATGAGATACGAGTTATTTTTCCTTTGCGTGCTCAATAGCACTTGGTGGATAAATCACTTTCAGGGCCTAGAACAGGAGTGGCCAGCCTGCCACAAGTGGCCTGGGCAACCTCTGTGTGTGGCCTGTGGCAGATGAGGGAGGGGACAAGCAGCACAGTGCCAGGCAGGGCAGGAAACAAAGCAGAGCACCAAATGAAATAAGGAACAGGGGGAAGGAAGCAGAACACAGAGCAAAAGATTGGGAAGGGAAAACAGACCAGGAAGCAGAAAGCAAAGCAGCAGCTTGGGCAAGGAAAGGGGATGGGGTATGGGCACACATGCCAAAAAATCTGGTTTAGAGCCATGGTTCTCAACCTTTTTTGTACCAGGACCCATGTGTAAACATCAGTGGCCGGTCCCGACCCAGTGCCCCTCACTCTCGACCCACTATCCTCTGCCCCCAGCTCCTCTGTGCAGGGTAGAGGGTGAGCGTGTGGGGCATGGGGCGCCCCAAGCAGTCCCTCGCAAGATGGAGCTCTGCCAGCCTGCATGGGAAAAGCCACAGTTTCCCACGTTTTCCTCCTTTAAACGATAATCCATTTTTTAAGTTTGTTCACAACCCTTTCATATATTCTTGCAACCCACAGGTTGAGAAACGCTGCTCTAGAACACATCTGTCCATCAACGGACCCTAACTTGCACGGGTTATTCAACACAGCAACAGAAAAGATAGTAAAATGACTGTAAAACAATACAAAAGCTTAAAGGAGGGTTGTTCTAAACACATCCCTCTTTTTAAAAAAAGGACTATATTTAAGCCTAACAGTGTCCTCCTTAAAGAAAAAACACACTCGCCAAGTGAAACCCTTGTTTTAATTTACCTGATTTAAGCTGTGGCTCAGTCTCAAGGGCCCCAGAGAGGACTTCCTCTATTTTCTGTACTATCTGATCACTCGGATGACTCCCGGCAGTGCCCGACGCTGTGGCATCAGAAGGGATGGCTGGCTCCGCCGGGCCCGGGGCTGGCTCACCGTTCTGCTGGCCTTCCACCTTTCCACTACTCGAGAAAACATGAACAAGGGGGCAGGTCATTCACCGCCTCGCTGGCCCTGTGTAAAACCACTTCTTTTTCCTTAATAGCTACTCTTGCCATCCAACCAGAAGAACCTTCTCACTCCCTACACCCCACCCCTACCCCGCAGACCTCCCCAGCCT